CTCCTCCTCCTCCTCCTCCTCCTCCTCCCCCTCCTCCTCTTCCTTATATCAATCTAATTTATTGAATCGCGTTTTTAATATATACCTTGCATAACGTGATCTTATGTCCCATATATTGCGTAGGCAAGCGCGCTTTCACATCTTCTTTATCCGATTATTAACACACGATTATTAACTGTTATAACAATGTCGATAAAGCTTCTAATAATGCTAGTCAAGCTGATACAAATGAGAAAGGTCCGTAAAAGTATGTTGTTTAAGTGTATGACTTAATTGCGATATATAAGTTTTATCATTCGTTGAAGAAACGAACTATACCATTAGTTTTATCGTTATTGTCCCTCCTCATTATCCATCACCGTCATCAACATTGTCACCATTGTCATTCTTATTACCATTGTAATATGTAACTCTATGCTCAATAAACACTTTTCTATTATTCAAATACAGATTTACATTTATTATTATTATCCCTTTCCAATCAATGCGCGTTGTTGAGTTACATCATTTGATTTATGAATTTTTTGAAGTAAAAAAATAGTTTTTAAAAAACAGAGGTATGGAAAGAGAAACAAAAGGGGTAAAAAATATTTATTAATAGAATTAATTAAACACACAGTTCTGGAAAACAAAACAATTATTCTAATGCAATAATATTTTTATTCCATAAAGTAATTCCGAAATATTTTCTGAAATGTCAAGATTACTTGAACAAAAATATAATTTAGTGAATAAAGATCTTAAACTTTTGTGGTAGTTTCATTATATCATTTATACATGGACAAGAACTTTTTTAATCTATTTTACATTCTATATAACAGTGCTAATTAATTAATTAAAAGCAACAAAGTGCCGCACCAGGCCAATACTGCAAAAACTTAGAAATCTAAATATCAAATTAAAAATAAAACATAAAAAAGGACATTGATAAATTATTAAATAGTAAATAATAAAAATAATAAAACAATGAAAAATAAAATTAAGATTTAGACATCTTAAATGTTATATATTTGGATTCTACACAAAAAACAAATAAACTTTATCTGAAATATTATTTGAAAAATGTTTCTATTAAAAGTTATAAATATTTATATGAATTATTCTATATAAAGTCTAAAATAGGATAAATAACTCTAATTATAATGATAAAAACATACCTTTCTTCCGCTTCCTCCTTTTGATTCGAGTTCTTTTTTCGTTCTTTTTTCTCTTTCTTCTTTGTCTTCTTAACACTAAGCTCACGAAAGTTCAGCTATTAAAATTCACATAATAATTTGATGGTCACAAATGACATGAAGAAAGCCACGCCGCGACAACGAGACAATCAATCGCGAGAGAGACCTTTACTTTACTTTATTTTGATATAAAACTTCAGGTTTTATGTCTTTCTTTAGAAAGGATAACTTACCGCAGATTAGAAGATCCTTCAATTTCATACTATTACTATTTAACATGCTAAAAGCGCTTTCTATCTTTCAGTGGTATAATCGACTGCTATGGAAAAAATTTATATTTAAAACAGACTTCGAAGTAACGCAAAGGGAAGAGGGGAGTATGAAAGAAAGCATACGTACAAATACGTGGAAATATGTTTATTATAAACCAAAGTTTATGTATGTTATTAAATAACAATATTTGCACCTGAGAGCTACAGTACTCTTCGAACAAGCTGCTTCGCTATTATTTATGTAACATCGCGTAGTACAAGTACGGCAAAACGGCACCTATATATCCATTCAATATAGTATCGCTCCTCAGCATCTCAGACTATCACCTTGTCACTTCAGCATTTCCAAATAT